TTTAAATAGGAAAAATATAGAAACTCTTTGGTCATTTTTGAGCGAGATGCTAACGGTTTAATCAGATTCAATGATCTATGCTAAGCTACAGCTAAAAGTGCTACTGCCAGACCCAGAGATCGGCTGAATGGATTCGAAAACGGTAAAACTCAACTGTTTAACTCTAGGGGAGTTAGAAAATGAGGCTATTTTCAAAAATAGTGGAGTGTTCCTTTAAAGTTCCAGTCCAAAAGCACCCTGTTTAATTCAAGGTGTCAAAATGACATTGTAAGTGGACTGCAGTCAAATGCGTGATCCGGGATATTATTAAAAATAAACCATCCACTTGTTCCTGAAACTGAGGTCTTTCTGAAGACTGTACAAACAAGTTTAAATTGGATGCATCAAAGCGAAAATTTTTTCCTCTTCCATTTGTCCTGATGTTAGCTGACTCAAGCATGTGGAGTATGTCAGAAATTGAATGGGCATCTGTATACTGTATCAAGTGTACACAGCGTCAGTGATTATATCATTTGCTTTTGATGCAACATGCTGCTTGTGTCCAATGTATACAGGTAACAATACAAATTCCACAACATCCAAATGAGCCATTTTGGTAGCTTGGTTAAATAAGTGCTCTTTTTGTACTGGAGAGGATGCTTTACGCTATGAAACTCATAACAGATATGAACTAAAAGTCACGAAATTTAAATTTCGAATCCATTGGGACTTTCACTGTCACTCACATGAGATAGTAGCAATTAGCAAATGACTAATGATCCAAAGATCCAATCAATTCCAGATTGACAAAATCAGGTCCCACACTTCATTTAGTCTCACTCAAGAAGTCGTTTCATTCAGAGATAAGTCACAATAGTTCTGTTTCATGACACGTTAGTTAAAAAGTCAATCATTAACTTTACCTGTGCTCTTCATCTGAAGTTGGACTGGTGCAGACATCCGTTCCTGTCTTAGTTGATGTCTTTGATTCAGAGCTGTGCAGTAAACCTTTAGTCTCATCCTCTGTATGGTCACAAGGGTTTTTTCGTCCACAACAATCCCATATGTTCCCCATGTTGGCACAGGCTGCAGTGATAGCTTTCAATAAATCCACTTCTCTGGGTTTAAGTTCAGACCAAAGGATGTTCAGTTATCTAAAGCAAGCCGCTTCCACTTCCAGAGGGCTAGCCATATACAAATATTATTTCTCCAGACAAAATTCTACATGCCTCGTACCAATACATTTGAGCAGTGTCTGTAAATAACGTGTATCTGTAATAATGTGTATCTATAGGAGCTGACCATAAACTGCACTTCTGAGTATCTGGTCATCTGCTCAAACCTGCAGATTGAAAACAAACACAAAGTCCCACATGAGCATTGAATATGCCATTTCTTCATCTAAAGACACAAGTTGCATGAAATAAAAAAAGTTTTAAAAAAAACAACAACAAAAAAAAAACGTAAAACTCTAAAAGCTTCTTACATTTAGGGGATCATCTTGTATTAACAAATTGTAATTTTATAGTAATAACAATAACTGTAGTAATTATGGAGACTATGTTATGGTTGAACAGGTGTTGTTGAACAAATATTTTAAGTTAACAAATCCTTCTTGTTCACTTCCATGCATTGATTCCTTCTTCATTCACGGAATTCTATTCATTTTGACACGCTTAACTGTTTGAGTCAACAATTATGAATTGTTTTATTGTCTTCAAAGACATAGCCTATAGCACTAGCCTATAGTAATTCATGGCTTATAACTCTTTAAAATCCTTATTGGAAAATTTTTCCCAAAACCAAAACAACTGAAAAAGTTGTCGGGCACTAGTGCACTCTGTAAGACTTTTTCCATTTCCGTTTCCATTGACTCTGGACTCTGTGCCCTATTTGAGGGGTAGGCCATTTGTAGTGGTTTCCAAAGAAATAGTAGTCATTATCGAGGCACCCTCAGTGAATTTGCTCACTCGCACTCACTTCCAAAACATCAGTACTCATCTTGCTGGATCTGTCTGTTGCTTTTGACAGTTAACCACCAGGCCCTTCAGGGTGTCTTGGAGGGGTGAGATGTCTAAGCCACAACATCTAACTACTGGGGTGCCTCAAGGCTCAGTACTTGGACCACTTTTCTTCTTCATCTACATGTCATCTGTAATTCAGAAACATGGCTTTTCCAATCACTGCTATGGTGATGACAGAACTCTACTTCTCATTCCAGCCCAGATGATCCAACAGTAGTTGCTCACACCTCAGCCTGCCTGACAGGCATTTCTTGCAGGATGAAGGGCCATAACCCTCAACTCAACTTTAGTATGACAGAACTTCTTGTGGTATCCGCCAACCCAACACTTCACCACAACTTCTCCTTCCAACTAGACGCATCAACCATAACTCCTTCCAGGACAACCTGGAACTTTGCAGTTGTAACTGGTGATCAGTTAACTCCTTGTCCAAGCTTTTGTTCTATCCAGGCTTGACTATTGTAATGCTGTTTTGGCAGGCCTTCCAGCATGTACTTTCAAACCTCTGGAACTGATCCATAATGCAGCAGCAAAAGTGGCATGTCACACCTCTTCATCATTTTGCATTGGTTGCCAATAGCCACTCGCATCAAATTCAAGGCACTGATGTTTGCCTACAAAACAACCACTGGCTCTGCACCACTATACCTAAACACACTACTTCAAGCTTATGTGCTTTCTACCTGTGACCTTTACCTTGACTGTTCCCTGCTGGTGGAATGACCAACCTAACTCAACCCGAGGCTTTAGACACATCTTTTTAATAGTAGCGCCTTCTGTGTTAGACTAACCTGGACTTGTCACAGCACTTACATATTGTTATCCTTTCGTTTTTTAATTGCTTCTATTATCTTAATTAGTAAGTCGCTTAAGATAAAAGTGCCTGCTAAATTATTACATGTAAATGTCAATGTAAACGAGTCAGTGGAATGAATTAAAATCCCTAGTAAGGTACATTTTTGTTAGGGAGTTTCCATTCTTTGCTGAATATCTTTGACAATACAGTAAAAATCCAAGAGCAAATTCAAACTTAAGTTTTTAGTTAAAACACATAATATCACAAAATATTTCACAATATACTTTCTTACATAACTTCAATAGGTATATTATTTTTTTATAACAGTAACTGTGCCATCCTTGCGCAAGGCAAGTCATGAGCCAGAATGACACGAAATATAAACATGCCGTTTATATCAATATGACTTCTAGTTTTCTATTTGATTTTGATTACTTTTTAAATCCTTCAGTACAGCTATTTCAGAAGGCCAGTTGATACACAAATTGACTTCCAATTTTATGGTTACTTTAAAACTATTTTTTTAGTTTTCCATGTAATGTTCCGTACAGTATATTAATCTTTGTGCATTGATGAGTTTTTGTTTGTACATTATTACGCATGTGACTGAGGTTGTTTTGCGGCGCAAGGCACAAGTGTCCACAGCACTCAGAATGATGACATTGTTTACCACTATTGCAACACTCTGTCCTACATGTAAGTATATTCAATAAAGCATTATTTCCCTAAAACAGAGGTATAAAATATTCCTTTAACAAACCGAATGTATTTAATTTAGATTCCCAAGCTCAGCGATATTGAATGAGCCAGCATAAGCACACGTGAACTGTCAACACCACTGCGTGTTACATTAATCGATACTTCAGATCGCCAAACTTTGTATGGCATGAATTTTGAAATACTCAAATATCTAAATTCCTACCTAAATGTGAAGAGTTCTCCATTTGCTTGTCAAGACAGACGACCACTTTTTGCTTCCAGGAAGATCGACGAGTATTAATGACCGTCTGTAGTTTCACTTTCCGTCTATGAATATACTCCCCACAGGAAACCGTGAACGTCAAGTTTCTCTACTTATAATATCGTTTCTTGTCTAATAACGTGCTTTTAATGAGCCAAAAAGATGCTGAAAAGTAAAGCCATAGAGTGTTTTAATTTATTTTATTCGCTCCTGTTCTTCCTTCATTGCACTTGAAGATGGCAGTGCATGGTCTCAGATTAAAGGAATGTAGTGAAATCTGATCCATTAGCAGCACATCAACACAGTACACAACTATCTTGAACCTGCATTAACCCAGTCTGTCTAAACATAGCCAAGTCATGATAGCTGCTTTATCCACCCTTGTGAAAAAGTAGTGCACTTTTGCATACTTCTAAAAAGAAAGCTTATTACAGAATTAATTAACATACTCAAATACATAAATTAAACTTCAGTGTGAACACAATGTAATGTTTTTGGACACTTAATTGTTTTTGGACGTTTATATGCAATTAAATAAAAATTTATTAGTTTAAATTTCAATGCAATTACTCAAAGCATAAAAGATTAAAACAATTATTTAAAATGAACTTACACTTTTTAAAAGTGTACACAAGTGTCATGAAACAGTCATAAATGTGTACTCTAAGTACACTTATGTAGTCTTTAATTTCATTATTATTGTGAATACATTTTAAATATACTTTTAATATTTGAAGTACACTACAAGTGCACATTCAATACAACAATTACGCACACTTTTCATCAGGGCAGCCCACTTGCTCTGACTGATTACAGTTCTCAAAGTTGCATCTTGAAACATAAGTGTTGGTAGTTTACTCCTGATTTATAACAGAGATAAGAGATAAAACCATTACAATAAACCAGTTAGAAACTGTGTGCCTACTTAGTGACATACCGGTAATATCCAAATCATGCCATGCTAAAGCTACTGTTTACATAGCTAAAGCTTTATGTTTACATACATAGATCATATTTATCTAAATGCCTCAAATTAACTTAAGATAAATAAGTAGTTACATAAACTGATTAAATAAATAGCTTTTATTTGGTGGTAAATGTAAACTCACTCAATTAGGTTACAGCTCATTATGCACAGTGGTATTGACATATCACATTACAAAGTTAATGCATATCTAGGGATGTAACGGTATGAAAATTTCATATCACGATTATAGTGACCAAAGTTATCACGATTATCAATATCACGGTTGTGTTAAAATTAGATGAACATGTTCAAAAAGAACTGATACACACACTGAAAACATTTCAATAAGTTTTATATTTGAAAATCAACAAACAACAAATAAAGATCACAGACAACCTCCGCAATTATTACAAATGACTGGAGGTCACCAGGTAATACCAGACCACCGATTTGGTTCTCTTAGATGGCTGAAAAATCTCCCGAGCGCTGTCACTGCCTTCCGCCATTTCCTCTCGTGCAAAAAACAACAGCAACACTGCATGCTGCTTCTGCGTCAGACTGATGCTGGCAGGACAGGATTTACCGCGAGTTTTCAAAATCGCAATAATGAAATACGGTTTTGATGATAATTCAATTTTAAACGATAATACTAACTGTCAGGGCATTTAATCGTGATTTATCGTGAAACCGGTAATCGTTCCATCCCTATGCATATCTTTACAAAACATATGTTAAATGTGTGAAAAAGTTTGATAAAAAATAAATAGATGGAGGTACACTGGAAAGAATTCACTTTTGTTTTGAAACTGTAATTTTCAATCAAAAACAGGTGCATTGGATTCAATAAGTGGCATAAGTACACTTTAAATCATATATTATATAAAAGCGTATTAAATTGTTTAGTGTTGTGGTACTAATCCAGCAAAAAGTGCAGTTCAATAGAATCACAGCAATGAAATGGAAAAAAAAAATCCCCTTAAATACACTATCAATTTGAGTCAACTAATGCACAGGCTTATTTTCTTTCCTGGAATTTGCTTGTTTCTTGCCCACACAGGATGTTATTCAGACACTCTGCTGCAGTGGATCCACTTCAAGTGTGTATGAGCTGCTGAATGTGAAGTTTTAGTTCTTCAGGAAGCCCCAGTTCTGTTATCAAGTCCAAGCAACACTTTAGCAGCTGTTTCAAACTCTCTCCTGTAGAGAAAGAACCCTGGCAAAGAGTTCTTGGTGAATCTTCACTCACGCCTCTGACATTTCCACAGCAGTCATTATTCGCTCCATCTCTCCCACAACAGTCCCCATTGTTTGAGCACCTAGATTCTCCCCCTTGGTTCCTTTGCTCCACATTTAGGTCCTTCATGTCATCCACCATCTCAGTCACACTAGGTGGAGGCCTCTGCTGGGCTTTCCTCATGGCCTCCACCAGCCCGTCCTCATGCGTTTCCAATCTCTGAAGCAGATCGGTAACTGACGCTAAAGCTGGGCTTCCAGGCAGCTGAACCTGACACCAGCATCGAACGGCACTGCGGAAGGAGAAGACAATGTGACGATGGTCAAAAAGAAGATAGGACTGACTCAATAGCTTTATGATCGTGAGCAGGTACTAGGGCTGCACGATTAATCGAATGCGATTGTCATGCGAATTTTGTTAAAAAAGCCGGTTCTGTAATCAGTATAACCATCATGATTATTTATGTAATATGCATAATTATGCAATTATGTAATTATCAAAACACACTTATCAGGCACAAACGTCATGTTTTACCTTTGCATTTTTAATAAACCACAAACTTTACAGACTCCAACAGTGAATCTGCTTTACTCGTTTTAAAAACAATCAAGCTAAAGCAAAATAAAGGCAGATCATTAGGGTTTGGAACAGACCAACTGTATAATAGTCAGAAAACCCTTTTTTTTTATTTTTTTTTTTAAAGATACTGTGTCTTTCATCAAAATAGCTAACTCACCTTTAGTCCTTCACTGGGCAGCCTGTAGCCAAATCGAGCTGGCAAGTCATCAAAGTTCTCTGTTTTGTTGTCAAATGAATACTGAAAAACAAACGCAACCATGAATTACTGTCCGGCAACCATGTGTTTAAATGTTGCATATCAATTTACTGTTGCTGCACACGTGTCAGAAACGTACAGCTGATATATCGGCCTCCACGGGCAGCAGATTGAGGAAGGCGAATATCTGAACCGTGAAAATGGTGTAAATCTGTGTGGCCGAGAGCATCAGCATCCCCAAAGAGAGCAGCATCTTAAGACCTGCTTCAATTACACCTGCAAACGAAAGGAAATGATGCATTAGACATCAGCAGAAAGTCCCCAGAAAACATTTCCCGTTTCTGAGGGCCAATGCAACCCTGTTTGTCCGTTCAAAGGAAGCAGATGATCGGATATACTGAACGCTTGGGAAAGAACTGAGCACTAGTGAAATATGAGTTACAGCATAATGCAAACAGTATGCAAATTGCTAAGGTTTCAAAAATATATTTAGCCAGAATAGACCGCAAACAGTCGTCAATCGAGATGCCTTTTGCCCTGATAATGATGCAGATAGAGGGCTAACAGGACCATGATAGCCAGCTAAACCTTCACCCTCGTCAATTTTCCTTTGTGTTTTTGAAAAGTTTTGTGTTGAAGACATTAGGGCTGCACGATTAATCGAATGCGATTGTCATGCGCATTTTGTTAAAAAAGCCGGTTCTGTAATCAGCAGGAAATCATCATCACGTGCTTTCAGATGGAGCAGCATTTACTACACAGAGCCGTAGTTCACTGACAAGTTACGCGCGAAAAAACAAAACAAAACAAAAAAATACTTTTTTTTAAATCGCAGACGATTTTATTGCGCACTTCTGAAATCGAAGAAATCGTTCGCGATTAGACTTGTGCCGGTATTCGGTAATGCGATATATCACGGTAATGAATATGCACGATATTGTTATCGTGGGCACTTCTAAATACCGTGAATAATTATATATTACAAATTATTCCGATTTTTGAATGCATTTTAAGAATACTTTTCCCATCAACTGGTCAAAATGCACAACACAGCTGTATGCTGC